GTTTTCCAAAGTGTTTATACAGGCTTAAACTTCAAACCAACCAACAAAGTGCAAGATTTCCAGTTGTTCATAACCTGGCTAAAATTTACTATTATTATTTAAAAGCTTAATCCATGCTGGCAAGTTATGTAGTGGTAATATATTTTGGCTTTAATCTGCATTTCTTTTAAGGCTTAAATATTTAGCATCTTTCCATTTGGCTATCTTATTTTATAAAATGCTTTTCAAGTCTTTCTTTGTTCATTTCCTTACTGAAAATGGTTTTCTGCCATTTTACCATTGTTTTGTTTTATATATTCTAAACGTGAACCTTTGTCACAAATATATACATTGCAAATATTTATCTCCTGCCTATGTCTGCCTTCTCACTCTCTCAAAACTATCTTTTAAAGAACAGATGTTCTTAATTTTAATTTGTTTAATTCATTTATTTTTTTGCCTACCTTTTTGTGTCAGTTTATCTTAGTTTATCAATAAATTATCCTTTGTGTTTTTCTAAAAGCTTTATTTTTATATTATGTCTTTAATTTGTCTGTCATATGTTAATACTTGAGTATGTCATGAAGTATTGAATTATTCCAGTGCTGTTTACTGATAAAACTTACCTTTTCCCCAGTACACTGCATTATCACCTTTGCAATTAACTAGATGACCTTATTTGTATGGTTTGGACACTATCTTTCATCAATTTATCCATTCTTGTACCAATACAATACTATTATTATAGCTTTGTAATAACTATTGATATCTATTAATGCAAACCTTCTAAATTTGGTTTTCTTCAAAATTATCTTGTAATTCTTTGCTGCTTGTGTTTCCATATAAATTTAAAATCAGCTGTTAATCACCCCCAACTAAAATTAATTTTGGGGATTTAGGGTTCCTTATTGACATTACATTTTTGATCCATACATCAGTTGGTGGGAAACTGACATTTTTATACACTGTGTCATCTAGGAGTTTCTTTACATTTGTGATTAATTGATTTATATATTTGGGTGTTTTCACATTTGGAGCATAAATATTTACAATTGTTAGGTCTTTTTCATGGATAGACCCCTAAATTATGATACAATGTACTTCTTGATCTCTTGTTACAGTCTTTATTTTAGAGTCTAGATTGTCTGATATAAGTATGGCTACTCCAAATTTCTTTTGGCAACCATTAGTATGATAGATGTTTCTCCATCCCCTGACCTGCAATCTGAAGGTGTCTTTGGGTCTAAAATAGGTCTCTTGTAAACAGCATACAGATGGATCTTGTTTGCTTATCCATTCTGTTACCCCATGTCTTTTGATTAGAGCATTTAGTCCATTGACATTTAGAGTGAGTACTGGAAGTTATGAATTTATTGCCATTATGTTTCCTGTAAAGATGGAGTTTCTGGTGGTGTTCTCTGTCCTTTCTAGTCTGTTGCTTTTGGTTTTTTTTTTTTTTCCTTCTTTTCTTCCCTCAGAGAATCCCCCTTAAAATTTCTTGCAGGGTTGGTTTAGTGGTCATGAACTCCTTTAGTTTTTCTTTCTCTGGGAAACTATCTCTCTTTTTATTTTGAATGACAGCTTTGCATGATAAAGAATTCTTGGCAGCATATTTTTCCAATTCAACATTTTGAATATATCTTGCAACTCCTTTCTGGCCTGCCAAGTTCCTGCTGCAAACCTGACCTGTCTTCCCTTGTAGGTTAAGGACCTTTTTTTATTCCCTGTGCCACTTTCATGATTCTTTCCTTGCCTGAGTATTTTGTGAATTTGACTATGATATGCCTTGTTGATGGTCGGTTTATGTTGACTCTAATGAGAGTCCTCTGTGCTTCCTGGATTTTGATGTCTGTGTTTTTCCCTAGGTTAGGAAAGTTTTCTGCTATGATTTGCTCATGTAGCCCTTCTACCCCTTTTTCTCTCTTTTTATCTTCTAGGATCCCAATGATTCTAATGTTGTTTCTTTTTAATGACTTACTGATTTCTCTAATTTGTAAATCATGCTCTTTGGACCTAGTCTCCCTCTTTTTTTTTTTTTTTTTTTTTCTGCTTGATTTTTTTTTTTTTTTTTTTTTTTTATATCACTGATTTGCTGGTCTGCCTTATCCATCCTTGCCGCCGTGGCATCCATTTGAGATTACTGCTCAGTGATGGCAATAATTTCATCCCGACTNTTTCTCTAATTTGTAAATCATGCTCTTTGGACCTTGTCTCCCTCTTTTTTTTTTTTTTTTTTTTTCTGCTTGATTATTCTTCATAACTTTGTCATCTATATCACTGATTTGCTGGTCTGCCTTATCCATCCTTGCCGCCGTGGCATCCATTTGAGATTACTGCTCAGTGATGGCAATAATTTCATCCCGACTAGCTTTTGCTTCTTTTATCTCTGCAGAAAGGGATTCTAATCTGTTTTCAACCCCAGCTAATATTCTTATTATCATGATTCTAAATTCTGGTTCAGACATCTTGCTTGTATCTATATTGATTAAGTTCCTGGCTGTCATTTCTTCCTATTCTTTCTTTTGGGATGAATTCCTTCGTTTTGTCATTTTGAAGGAAGTAAAGGAATTAAGGTAAAAAACAAATTAAAAGATTAAAAACAACACAAAAAAAAATCAAATAAAGAATGCTAGATCCTAGCTAGATCCTATCTAGATGCTAAGTGTGTTTTGGTCTGGTTGTTGAAAGGGAAAAAAGGGTTGTTAGAGAAAAAAGGGAAAGGTAAGTTAGAAAAAAAAAAAAAGAAGAAAAAAAGGAAAATGTTTGGAAACTTGAAAAAATGAGCACAATGAAATAGAATAAAGTGAATGGATGGAAGTAAAATAGAATTTGAAAATTTACAAAAAATTAAAAACATAGCAGAAAAAATTAAAGAAAGATATTTTAATAAGAATGGAAAGTAAAAAATTTTTTCTTTCTATATTCAAGAATAAGAAAAGAAAATAAATTGAATGGATAGACTGGCAAACAGATTGAAATACGATTGAAATTACATTGGCTTCCCCTAGAAATCAAACTATGAAACATTTTATAGTCTGTAAGCTAAGCAGGCAGAAAGACTTGTGTTATTCCTGAAGAGAACCGCCCAGTTGGGCGGGACTTAGTGTAACTGTTCTGTTCTCCATTAGATGGTGCTACTTAGCTTGCTGGGGTGGATTGTTGTGGAGCATGTAGGTGTGTATATGCATGCGTAGGAGGGGTGAAAATGGTGTCACCCAGCTATCCAGTCTCTGATATTGGAACTCTGTTCTCCCTGACCAGCAATCATACACTCCCTGCTAAGAGTGTATGACCAAGACTTCAGGTTGCCAGGCGGCACCTCCCTCCTGAGTTTTATCTGATGTGCATCTGTGTTTCCCAACCCCTCACTTCTGAGGGACTATGCCTTTGACCTGCTCAGACCTTCTGGGGGAGGGTCTCACCGAATAATAGCCAGGTGCTAGCCGCACCCAGGAACGTTCGTGGGACCGTGCTGCTGCGGATGCTCAGCGACTGTGGCTGGGTGTCAGCCCACCCCAGAAAAAGTTCATGAAATCATGTAGCAGTAGCATTTCAAGGATTATGGTAAATCACAGTACACATCTGGCACCAGGCTTCCCTCTTAATGTCCTTGTTCCAGCACCAGTGACTGTGGTTGTTCTCTGAGGTCTGCTGGGACCAGGTGGTCACACAGCATCTACCAAATGTCCTCCCAACAGGCTCTCCCTGTGTGGCCCAAGGATCCCAAGGACCTCACTCTGTGCTCCTGGGGATTCGCCTTCCCACCAGAGCACTGGCAGGTATCCAGCTGTGGAGTTTTAGATTCTGCACTACCCTACTGTTTATAGAGTCTTAATGGAATTTAAGCCCTTTCCTTTCATCGTTCTCCTTTTTTTTTTTTTTAAGTTAGTCCCTTGCATACTCTCTCTTTTCTCTCCAGTTGCTTTCAGGCGAGGGGATGGGGTGGAGGATGCTTTCCCGTAGTCTCCCCCCATCTCTGTCCTTTCTCTGCAAGCAAAAACAGCTCCCTGCCCTCCGCGGCTTCTTATCCTGACTTCACTTCTCCATGTCACGTACCTGCTGAGTTCTATCTATGCTTCATTATGTGCAGATTGTTGTGTTAATCCTCAAATCAGTTTTCTAGGTGTTCAGGATGGTTTAGTGTTGATCTAGCTGTATTTCAAGGATGAGAGATGGAAAAAAAAACTTCCATGCTGTTCCACCATCTTGACCCCTTCTCAATGACGAAAACATTTTCAAAACTACTTCTATTTGCACATTAAAATAAAAACTTTGTAGATACGTGTTATAATAGACATTTGTGTATTTTTTGGACTGAAAGGCTTCTTTTTGTTTGTTTGTTCGGCAAATTCTTAAGCTTCAGAGCCTTGCATCTTCAAGGTAGAAGCCAGGAAACTCAGACTCTCTCGTAGCTAGGACTATATTGTCTATACATTTTGTCATCTAATTCATGGATGTGGCATTTCCTTATATTTCTTAATTTTTCCCCTACAATATTTTGTAGTAGCATATCTTTTGTTAGGTGTAGTCCTAAGTATTTTTTATGTTATTGTAAATAGTATCCTTTTTAAAGTTTAAAAAAAATGTTGTCACTCTATTTCAACACAATTAACTTCATGTCCAACAAACTTACTACACTTATTTATCAGTTATAATACTTCGATTTTTGAATTTTAGACATCTGTAATTCAAAATAATGCCCTCTGAAAATAATGACAACTGCTTTCTCTTTTTCTATGTTTATGCCTCTTATTTTCTTTTCTAGTAATCACTGGATCTCCAGTAAGGTATTGAAAAATAGTGTTTATAGTAGCCATTATTGTCTTATGAAAAAAGCTTTTAATAACTCATCGTTAATATAATACCTGCTATAGATATTTTAAAAATTCTGATTATCAAGGGCATACAATTTCCATTTATTTTTATTTGCTGAAATGGTTTATCATGATTATGTAAAGTTAACTTGCACTAATACAGAACTTTGGAGAATGCAGTATATAGTGTGACCTCTCTTTTGGTAGGTTTCCAGATGTATAAAAAGCAAGAAGAAGTAAGATGAACAACATGTATGAACTTTGACATTATAAAGGTAAGACTTTTTCTTACACTCTGTCATCAATATCTTAACACTTTAGAGAATAATTAATAGCTAAATTGTGCCAAAGTGTTGTTTTATTTATAATTTCTAATTCTTATTGGTAGAGTTTGTTTTTTTTCAAATGTGTTTTAGTCTTATCATTATTGAAACAAGAATCATTATTGACTGTGTTTTCCACCGAATGCAATGGAAAAATTATTTCCCCTGTAAGTATGATAGATCTACATAAAAAAAAAAAAAAAAAAAAAAGCAAAGGAAAATGTTTCCATACAAGACATTCACTCTGACTTTTTGGAATCATGGAAACAAACCTTTTGCATTTACAGGCAATTAAAAAACTTATTTAAATAAACCATTTTTGTGTCACAAATGTCAACTAAATTAATTATTGCCATGAGACTTAGGATTTTTTTTCTAAAGCATTTCAAAACTTAGGGTCCACCGGCTTATAAACTTGTTATATTGGTTCCTACTTGTGTACTTTATAATCTATCATTCAGGGAAAATGGCTTGAATTTCAATGAAATTCTAATTTTCTGTGAGCTTACTCTGATGATTTTCAAAATTACCCTGGCCTCATGCCAGCTAAAAAAAAATGCTTGTTAAGTGACAGACTTTCCTACTTAGCAACACTAAAAGAAAAAAGAATCATTTGTTGATAGATTTTAGATCAGGATGAGACTGGTTCTTTACCTTGTCTGTATTCTTTTATATTTTCTAATATTACAGATGATGTAACAAGGTACCAGAGAGATAAACTAACCTCTGCAAGGTGAAAAAAGATGTAATAACCTTTATTTTAACTTATTGAACTGTTAGGATTGATATTTGTTTCCAAAATCCCATACTATGGTAAGGTGGGGACAACTTTTTGGTGCTAAGTTGCCATTCCTGAGAAACCTGATGTTTCAAGATAAATGACAGTGTGGATGTTTACTGTAATCCTGCTCTCAAGACATGAGCTGTAGCTATTGATTCTGTTGTGGCAAGCACACGTATATGTATGCACATATATACATAAAACTAATGAAAATCATATAGCAGAGAGGGAAAGTGGGAAAGAAGGAACTGTGGAAAGAAATGATAGAGTTGAAAAATATTGAAATCAGTTATGCTATCTAAGCATCTAGGCCTTATTTCTATTCTGTTTTAATTCAGTGACATAATTTAAAATGTATCTTCCTACTTTATCTTCTCTTAATTGGCTTTTACAAAATACTTCCACATCTCTGTGCTAACCAAAGAATATTCACTCTGTAACAGCCTGTCTTTGCTCATGTAGATTTAAAAGATGTACTGTCTTAACTTATTTGGAAAAAGAGAGAGAGAGAATCTTAAAATTTTAATTATTCAGGATAAAAGCAATGGGTTTTGTGGAGAAGAAGGAGATTTGATGGGCTATAAGATAATCAGCAGATCAAACAGTAATGAGTATTTGAATATTTTATTGCATATTACAAAAAGAACATTTCAGTCGGAATCTTTCTGTTATTTCTTCACATCAAAGAGGATCAGTGGTTGATTTAAGACTGAGTGTTTTCCAAAGCAAGGTCCACATTATGAAACAGGAGCTTGTGTTATATGACACTGATGACATTGTGTAATATGACACTGATTGCCGAAATATTCCCAAACAAGTCTCCCCAAATTATTCTTATATGTTTTTTTCCATTCTGCCCTTGCTTACCTGATTATTTGAGTTATTCTAATTGGAGCATTGATTCTATCCTCTAATGGAAGTCATTTTTATATGCTCATGGTCAAGTACCAGAAGATGAAAACATGTCAGTAGAACCAACCCTATGAAGTCTAAATTTAGAAATGTGTCACAAAGACTCTCAACTTTACTTCTGTCTCCAGATGTTTAGGCAAATATGACGGACATTTAGTATACCTGGGGTGTTACTTTTAACTAACTTTCAAAGGGTCAAAAGATAATCAAAAGTGATGACAATATATCACTTTGGTAATTTTGTGTTTTCTTAACCTCTGGACTTGGAATCTGTCTATGAGCATTACATTTTAGATCATCCAGTGTTCATTATAGCACATTAAGTAGTTTGTTTTAGAAGAAGGTAATAAGGCTTGGAAAGTAGCAAAGCCAATAAACAATCGATTTAGAACATTTCTGGAAAAGCTAATCATTTACTGGTTTATGTGTATATTTGGATACTTGCTAAAATCTTCACACTTTTGAATATTTTTTAATTTCTTCACTGACTCTGACTCTAGTTTTTTTAATTGATCATTAACATTCTAGTATCTCCTGAGATGATCTTATCATTGATTTCATATAAAGTTAATAAAACGCTGACAAAGAAAAGGCTCTTTAATAAATGTGACCAAGATGCCAGTTTCTCAGTTGTTCACTGTAAGTTGTCCACTGACTATCCCTAGATCTTGTGGCCTAATAATGGAAAAATGTTTGTTGGTACACATAGGGTAGCTATACTAGGAGGCATTTAGAGTGGTAATATTGTTATGGATATTTTAAAATCAAATAAAATGTGATTAAATTTGCCAAGAAATATTGGAAGCTGAGAGGTATTAAGTTTAAAAGTAAAATTAACAAAAAATTTGGTCATAAAAATGAAATCAGAGGGAAATATTTCCAAACCATGTACCTAAGAAGAGTCTAATATATTAAAAAAAACTCAACATAGAAAGGCAAATGACATAATTAAAATCTGGGCAAAGGATTTGAATAGACAATTTCCAAAGAAGATAGACAAATAGCCAATAAGCACATGAAATGCGCCACATCATTACCCACTGGGGAAAACTACAATAAAATGCTACTTTACAATCACTGGGATGATTGTAATTAAAAAGCTGAATAATAACAAGTGTTGGTGAGGATGTGGATAAATTGGAACCATCAAACACTGTAGATGGGAGTGGAAAATGGTGCAGCTACTATGGAAAACAGTTTGTAAATTCTTTGGAAAGTTAAACATGGATTTAAAATATGACACAGTAATTTCACTACTAACTGTATACCTAAGAGAATGGAAAGTATATGTCTACACAGAAACTGGTACACAAATGTTTATAGCAGTATTATTCATAGTATCTCAAAAGTAGAAACAGCCAAAAAAATAGTCATTCATTAATAAATGGATAAGCAAAATGTGTTTTATATCCATACACTAGAATATTATTCAGACACACAATTGAATGGGATACTGTTGTAGATTACAGCATGGTACTAAGCGAAAGAAACCACTACAGCAAGCCACATATTATACCATCTCATTTATATGAAACATGAAATATAGGCAAATCAAGAACAATAGAGAATAGATTAGACGTTTCCTGGGACTAGGAGGAGAGGCAAATGAGTACTGACTGAAAATAGGTACATAATACTTTTCTGGGTAATAAAAATGTTTTAGAATTAGTGTTAATTGCACAGCTTCATGAGTACTTAAAAATGCTGGGTCATGTACTTACAAAGAGTGAATATTAAAGATAATAAAATCTCAATAAAAAATGAAATCATTAAAATTAGATGGTAAGGTGATTTGACAGGCAGCCCAAATACTTGAAGTTAGAGCCAAAACCAGTCTGCGTTATTTAAGAAATAATTAAAATGCCTGAATAAAATTTCCATGTAAACATCAAATCTAACTTAGTAAGTACCATGGCTGAAGCAGTAATGGTAAGCAAACCTTATAATTCAGAAGACCTATCACATATTTCCTTTAAATAGGAAGTAAACCTACAGTTCCCCTTCAGCTTGGCAGGAATTGCCAATTAACTAAAATAAAATTGGCTCTAGCAATAGACTCTATCGTCTCTTTTATTAAATGTTTATTATATTTTGGATCTTTGGCAAATAAATAGTAGATTTGTTTTTTCACCGATGCCAACTAAGAAGGAAATTTTTATTCTAATTTTCAAATTTACTCAAACTGAGAACATTCAGCTATGTAGTAAGAACAAATCAGATTATGGCCAATTACATTTTTCAGGCTTTCAGATGGAGTCAACCAAGATGGAAACATAAGAGTCTTCTGAATTTCTCTCCTCCCAAGGACACATTCAATGTATAGCTACACCCAGAACAATTTCATCTCAAAGAAATAGAAAAACTAACTGAGCAACTCTTACACATAGCAAAAATGAGAAAGTAAACATATGAAACTAGGTAGGTAACCCTGAACCATGAAGAAATAGAAAATCTGAACAGAATTATTAGGAAGATAAATCAGTAATCAAAAACCTTGCAACAAACAAAAATCCAGGATTAGATGGATTCATTGGTAAGTTATATCGGACATTCAAATAATTAATAAAGCTCTTTCTCCGATGTTTCCACAAAACAAAAGAGGAGTGAAGAAAAACTTCATTTTATGAATCCAACATTACCTTGATATCAAAACCAGACAAGGACATTACCAGAAAAAGCAAATTGCAGGCCAATATCCCTATTAACACAGAAACAAAATTTCTCAACTTTATATTAGCAAGCCAAATTAAACAATATGTTAAAAAGATCATACACCACACTTAAGTCAGATTTATGCCAGGGATGCAAGACGGTTCCATAAATCAACCAATGTGATATACAACATTAGCAAAATGAAGGATACAAATTAGCTCATACAATTAGCTCAATAGAGGTAGAAAACATATTTGACAAAATTCAGCACCTACTCATGATTGAAAAAAAAAAAAACTTTAAATAGATTGAGTATAGAGAGAATGTACCTCAATATAAAAAAAGACCATACATGATAAGCCTACAGCTAACATCATACTCAACAGTGAAAATTTAAAAGCTTTTTCTCTAAGTTCAAGAACAAGACAAGGATGCCTACTCTTGCCACGTTTATTCTAGGGCAGAGCAATTAGAAAACAAAAAGTAAAAAAACAGGGAGGAGATCCAAATCATAAAGAATTATTAAAATTGTCCCTGTTTGTAGATGACTTGATATTGTATATAGAAAATCTAAACACTCTACCAAAAAAAAAAAATCATTAAAACT